ATCATAGCATTTTGCCTCCCAAAACTTGTATCCTTATGTACAAAACTTTCTTCTTTGTCAATAGTTTCAAAATTTTAATACATCCTAGCATCAAATCTAAAGTCCAAAGTCTAGAGTATCATCTAATTCAGATATGAGTGAAATTCAAGGCATAATTTATTGTGAGGCAAATTCATTCCAGCTGTGAACCAGTAAAATCAAAGCAATTTATTTACTTCCAAAATAGTGGACCAGGCATAAGATAGACATTCCCACTTGAAAAAGTCAAAATAGGAAACAAGATAAATATAACATCCCAAATGAATAATAAAAAAAAAGAACAGAGCTAACAATATTAAGTCTTAAGACTCAAGAATAGCATTCTACTTCCTGTGCTGCCTTCAGGACACACTGGGAAGTTGTACCCCCCAAAATCAGGGAGCTCCACTTCTATGGGATTACCCAATGCTTCAATTCACTCAGAAGTCTCATGCTTGCATTTCTCCAAGTCTCGCATTGTACACTGGTAGTTCTATAGTTCTGGAAATGGGAGGTAACCCCACTTCCGTGACTCCATGAGTCATTGCCCTAGTGGGAGTTCTCTTCTTTGGTACTGCCCATGTGACAAGTATCTGCTCGAGACCCAAGGAAGTGCACAATATCCTTTGAAATCTAGGTAAGGGAAACGAAATCCTTATAGCTCTTGAATTCTGCAAATCTATATCACAAGGACACCTCCAATATTTGTTGCTTAGAACTTCTGGAGCAGCACGTGCAATGAGCCCAAATCATTCTCTAATCAGGAATCCACTTCTCCTATTAAGTAAGTCACTCTTGTTACAACAGCATTAATCTGTTCTTGAGGGAAAGCCCTCATGACATAATCACCTCTTAAAAAGGCTACAATTGCAGTTAAATTTCCATGTGAATTTTGGAGGAGACATCCAAAAACCATAGGACCATGCATTTAAGAATCTTCCAGAAATATGTTGATAGCAAGTCCTCAAGACTTGCTTCTATGTGATATGCTTTTCTTTTGCTGCTTTTAGAATTCTCTACCTTTGATTTTTGACAGATTATTTATAATTTGTCTTGGTGAACTCTTCTTCAGGCTGAATTTGAGTAGAGATCTCCAAACTTCCTGCACTTAAATGTTTATATTTTCCCCCAGGTTTGGGGACTTTTCACATTATTTATTTAAATAACATTTCTTTCTCTTTCTGTGTCTTCTTCGTTTGGGATGCCTGAATTCTACAGATGTTTCCTTTCTTTTTTAAAAATATTTATTTCTTAGTTATAGGTGGACACAATGTCTTTATTTTTACTTTATATGGTGCTGAGGATCTACCCAGTGCCTTATGCATGCCAGGCTGAGCGCTCTACCTCTGAGCCACAACCCCAGCCCAATGTTTGCTTTCTTGATGTCACATTAGATCCTCTACACTTCTCCCTCTCCTTTCTTTCATATTTATTTTTCTACTATGGGTGATTTCAAATGATCTATATTGATTTCACTTATTCTTTTATCTTATTTTTATTTCTTCTTCTTCTTCTTTTTTCTTTTTTAACATCTCTAATTCTTTGCGGTCAGTTGTATTTCTTTGGTGGTGTTATATTTCCATGATTCTTCCAGATCTTTGTAGTTTTGTGAAAGTGACTGCAAATTTTAAGAAATATTCACCTACTCTAGATTTTATAGACTAGTGTAGATAAGGAAAGACCTTCCTCTGCTATGGATAATGGGGGTATGCATACTGGGGTACAGTGTGGCAACAAATGTTGTGTCTTAAAGTACCTTTTCTAGGAGTATGCAGTGATTCCATATCTGGGAAGAAAGATGTCTTGTTGGGTTAGGCAGCTGAGATCTGGTATGTTAGCAACTGCAAAAGATGTAGAAGGTCAACAGTGCTGTGAAAATTGTTGAAGTCTTCATATACCTATATGTTCAGAGACTGGATGAATACCAAAGCTAGAAATATGTACACCTATATTGAAGAGGCCAGCTTATGCACATATATGTTGGGCAGAGGCCAGCTATGGACTTACAGAGGGTGACAAGGTCTAGAGCCATTGGCAATGGGTGGTGCCAACAGTGGCCACAAGCTTGAAGGGCCATGAATCTTTCTCAGTTGCAGAGCTCTCTTCAGGCTAATGACAAGGTTCAAACCATCTGTTTATAAATGGACAGCTACACATCTGAGCTGGAGTTGTCCATGTGTCCAAAATTGCTTGGACCAGCTATGGGTATAAGCATGGTAATTAGGGCACTCTCTGAGGTACAAGGCTACCTGCTTATCTATGTATAACTGTGGTGGCCAGGGTTGGCATCTGACTATATGAGTAAGCCTTGGTTGTACATGGTAGTGAGGATGTAGTCTGTGGTGGAGGACTATGGAACTGTTGTGGACACATGCATGGTAGTTGCCTTGGGTCACGGAGCAAGAGCTCCCAAGGAGACAGTAGCTATGATGGCTATAGGGAAAAGGGCTGGTGGCTTAGGCACTTAGAGAAGGCTGGGTATCTGGGCCAAAGTGAATATGGTAGGGGCAAGCTCAAGTAACTCCAGACCCAGAGGAGAGAAAGAGCTTGTGGGTCAGGGACCTAGAATTTATGAAGACTGTAGGACTGGGGCACCTATTGTAACAGCAATTTGGTAACACCAAGTAGCCTCAGGGAGCAGGGAGAGAGAGAGCATAAATTATGTAACTGTAGATTGTTAAGGCAAAAATAAATCACAACCCAACAATACGGGAGGCTAAGACAAGAGAATCACAAGTTTGAGTTCAGCCTCAGCAACTTTGTGAGGTTCTCAGTAACATAGAAAGATCCTGCCTCAAAAATAAAAACTAAAGGGCTCGGATGTGACTTAGTGATTAAGCACCCCGAGTTTAATCCCTGCCACACATAAAAAAAGGAAATAACAAAAAACAAACAAACAAAACCTCCAGCATCCTCAGTGACAGGTTGTAGTGGGTCTGTTGTTGCTAAGTTAGTAGTTAGTTTTCTCAGCATTGATAAATGCTAGGTTCCTTTGAAGAACAAACTACTGTGGCCTGTGACATTGAATATTGAGTAGTACTTGGTAGTGGAAGTTCTAGGTGGTATCCAACAGCCATGAGGGCTGTTGAAGTCCTCAGCAGAGAGATGCTGGATTCTTTTGCCAAACAGGTCACTGGGGAGTCACAGTGATTCCCAGTGCCTGGCTGATACTGATGCCCATTCTTCTTCCTTGTTCTTTACTGTCTCCAGACATCTCAGCCATCCCAGTCCTCTAGAAACCTGGGTGGTGTGAAACTAAAGTTGGTCATTTGAGCAATGTTCTAAAAAGCTGAGGAATATGATTGTATATGCTGCTCTCCTTTTCCCCACAAGGGGGCATATGAGCCAAAGAAGTGCTTTCTCTGACCTGAGCAGAATTTGGGGGATGTAAATGAGACAGGAAAAATGAAACTGTTATTCCAACCCTTTTTGTGTAGTTATTCTTAGGTTTTTTTCTTCAACTATATTTCTGTGGCTTCTTAAGTGCACTCCTACTCTCTTTCTGAAATATTTTTGTTCATGAATGGACAGCTGCCAAAGTTTTGGAATCTGACATGTCTTACTGTGACACCTTGCTGATGTTCTCTACTGAAAATTTAATTTTTAAGTATTTAATGCTTTTTGATACTATTATAAATGGTATTTTTTGAGGTTAAACTTTATGTTGTTTTTTGCCATATAGAAAAACAGTTGATTTTTGTACATTGGCTTTGTATCCTGACACATTACTGATGTTGATACTGGTTGGTATTATTGACACTCAGAGAAAAAGGCTAAGCTACACTGCTTTTTGTTCCACCAATATTTGGAGTCAATTTGGTGGCAAATGGGTTTTATTAAAGCTGGCTTTGAAGGAAGATAGAAGATCCTTTTTGTTTTGAAATTTCCATCATTGGGAGACTCTGATGAGAAGAAAGTTTCTAAGAGAGAAGAGGTGGCAAAACGAGGCAGGAAATACACATACATAGGTTGAATTAGGAGCTTTGTTTCTGAACTTAGGAGAAAACATTCAGTATTTCACCCTTGAGAATGATGATAACTTTTTGGAGGAGACAGATCCTTTGTATTTATGGCATATTATTCTTTTTGTGTACTTTTTGTTCTTTTGTTTTGAAAAGTACATGTGTAATAACTTCATCTTGATTTTTGTCTATTTTCTATTGCTTCTTTTTCTATCATGTTTTGTTCATGTTTTATATTCTTATGTATCAGGTGATTTTTTATTTAGTATTTAGCAACATATGAGAAAAACATAAGGATTTTTTAGGCTTTGAAATTATTAAATTTTATAGAAATGTTGAAAAATAAAAACAATACAAAAGATATCCATATACTATTTACCCCCAGGTTCACTATTGTTAACATTTCACCTTTTTGTTTTGTTTCATCATTTGAGTATGCTCTCCCTATCTCTCAACTGTTCTCTTTTCTCTATATGCATATAATACTTACACAGGTACACATACATTTTTCCATCAGCACTCATCTTACACTCATCATGGCCTAAATACTTCATGATATGTTTCTGAAGGTATATTTTATGAAGGTAATTTGAAGCTCTGGATAATGATTTCTTCAGAGAGATTTTATTATAATTTTCAGTTTTTCTAGCTGCTCTCAGTGGCAGGGTGTATTGAAACACCTTAGTTTGTCATTGACAAAAGTAGAATCTCTGATCTCTTTTTATGACCAAATATCAGATATACTTGCCAAGCTCTATTATTGTTAGAATCAGTCTCCTCTCATTACCTTTCTTTTTTCTACTTATTTTCTACTTATTCTATATTGAGTTTTACAGTTTGTTTCTCTAGTTCTTAAATAATTTCTTTTCAAATGTTTATGATTAAATTATGGATCAATTTAAGCATAATTGACATTATTTTAATATTCCTACATAAGAACATGGTCTTCCTTTCTATTATTTCAAGACTTGCTTTGGAATGCTGAGTAGCCTTTCTCTTTCATTTTTTTTCTGGCAATAGCAAGATGGATTCTGGATATACTCTGAATATTGCAACAACCATCTGGATGCCTGCATGGAGCTCTCCAAGCTGATGAAGGATAGTCGCTACCAGCACTTCTTTGAGGCCTGTCGCCTCTTGCAGCAGATGATTGACATTGCTATTGATGGTTTCCTTTTGACTCCAGTGCAAAAGATCTGCAAGTATCCCTTACAGTTGGCTGAGCTCCTCAAGTATACTGCTCAAGACCACAGGTAAGATAGGAGTGAGTTTATTTTACATGTTGATCCTTATTGAAGATGTATATCATTTTTACCTTTTCTGAGCTTCTGTTACCTTATCTGCAAAACAGCATGATACATGCTTGCTTACCTCACAAGGCTGCTTTGTGTGAAGTGAAGGAATATTTTTGAGAGTTGCTTGTGAAGTTATAAATTGGTTCACACACACAAACTGCATGCACATTATTATTGTACAATGCATACCCTACTCTCAAGCAGCAGAGATTTAAGCTTTTCCTTAGTCCTGAGCTTGGCTTCATGAATCAACCCTGATGCAATAAATGTTCAACTATATAATTCACTCTTGTTAAAAGACTCAAATGTCCTGGTGATAGTCTGGACAACTTGTACTAACTCTGAACTTCTGCATGGTCTTCTTTAGTGTTTTTACCTTACTCTGTCCCAACCCAGTTGTGTATTTTAAGCCAGAGTATGGCTATTGGAAAACAGACTGAGGCTTCCCCTGAATTTTCTTTTCCTATTTTTAAAATATTAAAAAATAAATAAGTACCAAGAATATAAATGATACCACTCACCTTCTACCATTAAGGTGCATGCTGCAGGTAATCCCCCAACAGTAGGTGTGACCTACAATGAACATTCCCACTATTTCATAGGTCTTACCTCAGACTTTGACCCCTACCTTATTTCTAACTTTATTTTAATTAATGTTGAATCCCTGATCTTAGACTTGTTCAGCTCTATTCCTTGGATTGAGTACTCTGAGAAGAAAGAAGGGCTTTGCCCAATTTCTCATAGCTTTCACCATGACTCTTATTAGGCCCACTTTCTATTTCCATTTGGCTCCATTGCCTGGCACATTTAGTGCTGATTTCCAAATGCAAATGCATAAGGCCATGGGTGTGGACCAGTTGGTTTGGTTTAAGTTAGCTTCTAGGTCAATCCTCATGTTCATTTTCAAATTGATGTTGTTTCTTTAGTAAAGTATAACTAATATGCTTCTGTGGTTCTGGAGCCCTAGGCAAATTTCATATTTTAACACAAATGTAATAATACTTGACTTCCCTCTTGTATGAGTAACAGGGTCAATGATTGATCTGCCTTCCTTGATCTGTTTGCTGTGAGGGAGGCAAGCAAAATAGGACTTTATTAAGGAGGACTCTACTCTCTTCTCCCTGAGGCAATGATATTAGCTGCTTATTAGACCTGAAATTTGGAGATGACTAGGTCACACTTGAACAGACTTAGTACAGCCCATCACCAGAACTGAGTTCCAAGCTTTCTGAGGATCTGTTTGCACTTGTGGGGGTGGTGCTAGGGATTGAACCCAGGGATTCATTCATACTAAGCAAGTGCACTACTACTGAGCTACATTCCCAGCTGAGATGTTTTCTTGAGGGCAAATAAGGACATTGAAGAACCCCCTGATAAAATTAAAAGATATTTCAAAATTAACTTAAAATACAGAATATATATCCTACCTAGATTAGGAAGGCTATCCCTTCTAGTCAGATTTCCTTGTTATACAGCTGGAAAGGCTGAGACCAGAAAGGGAAAATGACAGAGTGCAAGTCTATATTGAAACAAGGACATAAAATATAAGTAATAGTCTCAACATCTAGCTTTTAAAAGCATTATCTAGGTAAATTTTGTGCACAGAGAGATTTGTGAGCCATCAAAGAGTGATTCTTATATGATTTTGTATGACAGTTTTTAAATTGCCCTATATCTTGAGTATCTGTTGAATGGACATCGTCAAGAGCTCTAAAAATCTTACTTGTGGAGTAATAATATTCACTAGTTAAATTATATATTCCATAATTGATCTTAAGAGTTCCAGAAAGGCAGTTTTTCAGCACAGTTCAAAACTACATGAACCCCAAATTTTTGTAGTTTGGTGGGAGATGGTAAGATAGCTAGCTGCTCAGGAACGGGTTGAGGAAGATATATGTTCTAGACAGCTTGTCACAATCTCAAGATGAGTCATTAGTGAGAGCCACTAGAAAAATAGTTAATACCTAACATTCATTATTGCTCAGAATTAAAACAATTTTTCCAACAGGTTTCTTGTGACAGAATAAATTGGTTAGGTGGTGTAACCTATAACTGGAGGTGATAGAGTGCAGTAGTTTTTGAGGTCCATGGATCTGGAAGTTACATAGGGTACAAATTAGTCATGGATACCAACTAAGGGGATGTGCTCTATAACTTTTGCCCTGGCAGTTAGAACTCCCTTCCCTGTGCCTATGTTTGGTCTACGACGTTCTTCAATGTATTCAGAAAGAAAAAGGCAGTAATGGTACCTCTTCATTTTTCCCTTCTATTTTCTAATTGGTGCTATGAAAGTGAGCAGGTTAATGAGCACAAGGCATTTTCAGCTTTTCTAAGGAAAGGTATTAAGACTGAACTATAACACATGCCTTGCCTTCTTCGTTTATTGTAGCTCCATCCAATGGCTGACATCTCACTTTCATTTTGCCTTTCACAGGAGCCATTCAATTGGAAATCAGATCAGAGAAAAACAGAGAAAACTGGGCAGAATGATTCAAATCTCAATGCATGGATTATCCAAAGTCCTAGGAAGCTGGGCCAAGTGTTAAAATTCTGGGTTTAGGGGAAGACATCCCATGGGATTTCTCTAATAGAGAAATGTATGACTTGTAATAATACTGATAACACTTTTTATGGGTCAAGAGTAAAACAATTTACATGGATTATTGTATTTAATTTATTAACCCCATCAATAAATTCTACCACGATTCTTCCCATTTTATATAAAAGAAAATTGAATTAAGGGGGGAGTGAGTGAGACTTGCCAAATAAGTGGAGTTTGAGCTCATAGACTTTGGTTTCAAATTCTGTATTTTTAAAAACTGTGTGCAGGAAGAAAAGTGACTTTGGGCAGAGGCTCCCTAGAAATAATGGGAGAGATGATTATGTTGTCTGGACTATGTCATGTGAAAATCTCCCTTCTTAGACTTTGGTTGGTTGTATCAAATACAACACAACAATAGTGGTGTAAAAACAGAGCGGGACTCTATTTCTCATGCAAAAGAAACCATAAGTTAGGAGGCCCATGGCTGGCATAGTGGCTTCATGGTCATCAGTGACTCACGCTCCTTTCAGCTTTCAGTTATTGTACCCCTAGGGTATTGGCCTTGTCATCATGATCCTGCATATGAGTACAGCTTCAGCCATCCATTCATATTTTAAACATCAGGATGTAGGAAGCACTAAAGAAGGATGTGCTCTGTTCCCTAAAGGAGATACCCCAAAAGTCCTGCCCAACATGATAATTTGTATAATCACTGGACAGAACTTAGTCATATAGTCATCCCTGCTGAGAAAAAAAGATAGGAAGTGTAGTCTTTTATTCTATGTCTCATGGGTTCCCATCTGAAAATCAATACTGTTACTAAGGAGAAAGAGTATAGAGTGGATGTTAAGATTGGCATCTAGAACATTGGTTCTCTGGCATATTGGTTCATCCAACTTGCATTCTTGTTTCTTCACAGTGATTACAGATATGTGGCAGCTGCTTTGGCTGTCATGAGAAATGTGACTCAGCAAATCAACGAACGCAAGCGACGTTTGGAGAATATTGACAAGATTGCCCAGTGGCAGGCCTCTGTCCTAGACTGGGAGGTAGGATTCTTACCAATAGGGGTGTTGGGGATTCCAGGGAGCTTGCTGAAAGCTCACCTAAGCCAAGGGGGGGAACAAAGAGGAATTAGATTTTAGGAGCAACCGGAAGGATTTAGATTAGGCCCAAAGCAAAGCTTCCTGCTAATGAGAGGTATTAGGTAATTAATAGCTTTCTAAGAAGATTAGTGAAATCTTTGTGACAATAATTCATTAAGAAAAGAAAGGGGATAAGGATGTAGCTCAGTGGCAGAGTGCTTGCATTGCATGTGTGAGGCACTGGATTCAATCCTCCGCACCACATAAAAATAAACAATTAAAATAAAAGCATTCTGTCTATACACAACTAAAAAAAATTTAAAAAGAAAAGAAAGGTTTATCTCTGAGTATTGTTTGGAAACAACAATTGAGTTAAGTCAGTAGCCCTTCAAACATTTTTCAAGTCCTAGATTTGTGACCATGGGATGCACACTTGGATAAGTAGTAGTATGTACTAATATACTCCTAGTCACCGAATATGTGTGTTATGGTTTGAATGGTAAATGTTCCCTAAAGGCTCATGTATTGAATACTTGGCCCCAGTGTTGGCAGCAGGGTTCACAATTTTTTTTTTTTTTTTTTGCTTTCTCTCTCTCAAACACACATTCTCTCTGTGTCTCTGTGTACTTCTGGCCACCATGAGGTGTGCAGCTTTGCTCTGCCATGTAATTACGCCATGATGTTCTGCTTCACCACAGGCTCATAGCAGTGGAGCCAGTGGATCCTGTATAGAAACCTCTGAAACTGTGAGACAAAATAAACCTTTCTTCTGTATCTTGATTTTTTCAAGTATTTTGTCACAGTGATAGAAAACTAACTAACACAATGGGGTTGGTTCTCTTGTTCTTAACCATTTGGGACAGCAACATACTTCTTTTCTTGTTGGTGAGATCACCTTGTCCTGACACAGTCACTAGGTCTGTCCAAGCCTACACACTGTAGTCCATGACCATCATCCCTGCTGAATCCACAGATCACTATCTGTTTTCATCATCATCTTATAAAAATAGACCCTGAAAACTTTTCATTCTATTGAAGACATCTGTGACTTGTCTGAACTTGGAAAGCAAGTGGCTGAAGTCACCCGAGCCTTCCTTCCTATATGCCTACCAAGGAAAACAGTAGTAATGGTATTTCACATTTATCTCTTAGGCCCACTTCATGTAATCTGATTATCCATAAGTTAATATAACTAAGATGGGAGAGGCTAGACATGCTACAGGGAGAGGGTGGAAATATTATGCCTTGTGGTCACAGTGTAGAAGTAGAGGCAACTCCATTGGCCTATTCCAAGTGGACTGTCATCAGCCTTATAAATAGCTACTTAACCAAGTTCTAGACCAAAAAAAATCATCTTTCTTTTATTGCAGTACCTCTGTTCCTCCTCAATGTAAATGTTGGAAAAGGCCACAATTCTGATCAGCTTACACATTTTGGGGTCCTATTTGAAGGATAGTTTCCTCATAAAAGAGTATTATAGCAGTGACTCTTTGAAATTTATAGAAAGAAATGAATTCACATAATGGGACCCTCTTGCTTGTAAGATTAAGCCAGTACTGACAAAGATTTACTCAGAAGTCGTGGATTCTCCTTCCCTTGTATCTTTTTGCTTTGGCCAGTTTCCTGATTCAAGGCAGAGGTCAGGGCCAAATGCCTTCTAGCAAGCCCATGAACTCTGAGGCATTCTGAAATTGTGGCTACTTAGAAGGCCTTTGTCTCTTATCATGGCAGGGTTCTATGTAAGAGAAGGTGTCCAGGAGCAGTTGTCTTTCTATTCCTGGAACATCTTTCCAAATCTCCATTCCTAAAAGACTTTTTAATTCCTCCATGTGCTCTGTGCCTCTAATACCTGGATCATAGGCCATGGGGGACAAATAACAGTTTTAAATCCCTTGGCCTACAGCAGGAGCTTCATTAGCACCCAACTCTGTAGACCTGAGCTGTGATTTAAAGGCTCAACATCTCAGAAGACATTTCATTTATGTTTCTCTAGGGAAGGGGTACAAAAAGTAATTTTAATTGTTCCTTTGTTAGTACAATAGATTGATTCTGTAATCTCATCTAAACCTGTACAACACTGCACCTCCCTGCTTGATGAAGCCTTTATTCATCTAAATTGGTGTCTTAGTTCTTCTGGGCTGCTATAACAATATCATAGACTAGGTGGCTTGTAAACAACATAGATTTATTTCTCACAGTTTTGGAAGCCTTCAGAAGACCTCACCTTCAAAGAATGTAGATAAAAGATTAGATTTTAATAAAAAAATTTTGGGGGGGCATAAACATTGAGTCTGTAATGACTTGGAAGGAGAAAAAAATGCTCTTCTCAGACTCTGTAGTCACTGAAGAATTTGTTAGCTCTATGGGTGTTGCTGTCTAGGAAGCTTTTCCTCTAGTGAGGGCTGATTGGTACATTTCAGAGGCCAGAGCTTTTAAGGTATCTGTCATGTTTGCTGAATCTGGTCTTAAAGACTACAGAATGTCAAGAGTTCCTGGGCTCTTAGAGCACTCCCCAACAGCCCTGACCATGATAGTGTGTGCATAAATACTCATTTATACTCACATTCATCCTTATTCACCCTCCCATACCTTGTCATGATAGTGAGGAACTGAGAAGCAGAGAGAGACTTATTACTGACCAAGGTCACACAAGTCAGTCACAAAAGTGGAACTTGAATCTAGTCTTCTGATTCCCTTTGTCGTTTTATTTTCATTACTAAACCACAAATTCCTCTAACCTTCTGCCTCCTGCAGCCCAGTTGCTGTCCTTTGTAATGTTATAGCAACTTGTTTTTTCAATAGAATCTATGTTTAAACAAGAGAGTAAGTCTACCTTGGAGAGAGGAGGATCCAAATACCTGTACAACTAAAGATGGATGAGTACAGAAGAGTCTTTCCCAGAAAGCAATAGAACATGGACATCCAAAGGATTGCTGCCTCTTGGGATAGGTGACAGAACCTCTCTGGTTCTCTGATATAGGTTATTTGTGTATTCCATTTGCCCAAGAAATTGAAAAGGCAGATAGAGAAAGAGAGAACAAGAGAGAGAGAGGGGAGACAGAAAAGGAAGAGCTCTTGCCATATTGCTATGGGCTGATATGGACAAGCCTTACAAACCAAAAAGAAGCAATGCTTTGCTATCTCTGCCATCCCCTTGCCTCCCAGATGTTTGAACAAATAGAGTGTCTGTCAAAATCATCCAAATAGTAATTTTAGCTTCATTTGTTAAATGAAAAGCAGGAGTCATAAGAGAAACCTTTAGAGTTTAATCTCCCTTGAAGAGGAAATGGGAGGAGTGGTGAAATGTAGGCAGTTGATGCTTGCTCAATAAATCACAGCATCTGGCTGGAGAGCAGGAAGTCTTGCATTATTTCAAGACCTGTTTTTCCCCTCATATTTCTCCATGAACATTTTGAGTCTCTTTACCCAACTCCAGTTACCATCCCTGACTCTTGTCATCTTGAAGTACCCTTCCCTTTGCCACATCCTCAGGACTTCTTAAAAATAAATAGATAAGTTAACTTGTTACCCATCTCTCCAAGTAATAATATAATAGAGCAGTTTCTGTGAGCAGCAGGTAGAAATACCTGTTCTCAGGAATTACAGTTTCTGGAAAATTTCTATTTATAATTTCTCTGATGCTGAGGTTTAGTTGAACTGTCACTTTGGTACCTTTCAGATTCATTAAATCCTCTTGAAACGAAGGGAAAAGGAACATATCCCTGACAGTTTCTTTTAAATCTTTTTCCTCTGTATAATTTTAGCAGGAGCCCATGTTCATAGCCCATGTTCAGGAGTTTAATTTTATATAGTTATAATATCCGTCTTGTGGTACCCATCCCCTTCCATCCTGGTTATATAATACCCAAGGTCCTTTCCAGTTTACTACTGGATGATTGAATCCAAAGAAGTTGGAGGAAATACAAAATCCCAATGTAATAGAGGCAGCAAAATCATTTATTTAAAAGCTTCTGGAACCAGAAGATCAAATGAGGGACTGGATGGATTGTTTATTTCTCTGCCCTTCTGTCAGTAGGCAGTGTTGAAGACAAAGTGGATGAAAAAGGATGGTGTTTACCTTGCCTTATTTCTCTGGATCTGCTCAGACCACAAACACGTATCAGTCAGCCTGTAATTAGAGTGGAATAAAGTTGAGCAAAATGGGATGAATTATAATTCATTAGAAAAAGGTAAAGTTTCTTCTCTGAGACTTTGGCTTCAGAACAGGAAGGCAAATGAACTGGTAAGAAAGCTCTGTGTAGTTTTTGATAGCCACTATTTATTTAATATTCCTTGGTTCATTTATTAAATAGACATTTATTGAGTAACCTAATCTGTGTCAGGTCTCATTCTGGATTCTGCAAATATGTCAGTGAATGGGACAAAATTCCCACCCTTATTGAATTTATATTCCAGTAGGGAAGAAAGGAAAGAAACAAGCATATACTATGTTGTCAGGGAGTGATAAGGGCTATGAAGAAAAATAAAGTAGGCTAACAGGCTAGAGTAATGGGGTAGTACCTGAGCAGATGACTTTTGAGAAAAGATCTGAAGAAGATTAAAGAGCATATCATTCTTGGAACACAGAATTTCAGGCAGATGGAAGAAAAAAATACAAAGGCCATGAAATATGGAAATATGTGCTCAAGGAATGCCAAGGACTAGGCCAGTTTGGCCATAGTGGCATAAGAATGGGAGAGAGTAGGGGTAGACGAGGGTATAAAAGTAATGAGAGGTAAGATTGTGTCTTTATAGGACTTTGGCTTTCACTTTGGTTGGGAGCTACTAGACGGTTTTGAGCAAATATGTGATTATTAACATCTCTTTACCAGTCCCTGTGTACTAGTCATTGAGGATGTTTTAGTCAGCTTTATTTGCCATTGTAACCAAAAGACCTGAGAAAAATTTTAGAGAAGGAAAAGTCTATTTGAGGCTCACAGTTTCAAAGGTCTCAGTGGATAGATAGCTGGCTCCATTGCTTTGGCCACAAGGTGTGGCAGAACATTGAGGCAGAAGAATGTGGTGGAGGAAAATGGCTCAGAACATGGTCACCAGGATTCAGAGAGCTCCACTGACTTACAACAAAGTAAATACTGCAAAGGCATCTACCCCCAATGACCCACCTCCTCCAGCCATACCCTACCTAACCTAGAGTTGCCTCTCAGTTATTCCCTATTAGGTGATTAATGTACTGATTAGGTTAAACTCTCATAACCCAATCATTTCCCCTGTAAACTTTCTTGCATTTTTCTCAAACATGAGCTTTTGGGGGACACCTCATATCTAAACCATAACAGAGGATATTGGAATCAATGCTATATGCCCTTGGTCATCTATTGGGGGGAAGATACATTCATAGCAAAGGGAACAGCATGGGCAAAATCCTGTAGGAATGGAACAGAAGGCCCAGGGGATTGGGAAGTAGGAAGGTATTGCAGTTTTGGGAGCAAGACAAACAGATACGTACTTGGCGCTGGTTGGGCAGAGGAGACAAGAATTAGAGCTGTGAACAATGAGAGGGCCCTTTTCATCACAATAATGTTTGATGTGTTCTAGCAGCCATGTGGAGTGGAACAAACAGTAGATATAATTATTTGTTCCACTTTAAATGAGGAAAGAGGGGCTGGGGATGTGGCTCAAGCGGTAGCGCGCTCGCCTGGCATGCGTGCGGCCCGGGTTCGATCCTCAGCACCACATACCAACAAAGATGTTGTGTCCGCCGAGAACTAAAAAATAAATATTAAAAATTCTCTCTCTCTCTCTCTCTCTCTCTCTCTCTCTCTCTCTCTCTCTTTAAAAAAAAATAAATAAATGAGGAAAGAGATTGAAAGAGGTACATTCTAAGGGCACAGAGTTGAGTTTATAGCAGCACTAGACCCAGCTCAGCTCTTTTGAGATTCTTGCCTCAGAAATCTTCAATTGAAGCTGGTTGTTCCACTGGGGTAGGTGTCATCATTCTAATGCAGTATGGTGAATAAGAACATGGTCTTTAGAGGGAGTCTGGCCTGAATTCTGCCCCTTTGGGAAAGTTACTTCCAATTTCTCTGATCTTGATTTGGGGGAATAAAATAGTACAAACCTTATCAGGTTATAGTGTTAGTAGGAAACAGGTTACATATAGTACCCAGGGCATGCAGCCATGGGATAATAAATATCATTTGTGTAGATCTTACAGTATGTGTACCTTCCTAGGCACTTTGTTATATATTAATTTAAATAGTTATCACAATAGGGTTGGTAATGTTTTTATCCTTATTAAGTATGAGGTAACTGAGGCACAATTAGGATATTTAGATTGCTTTAGCTCACTCAGCTCGGTGAGTATATAAGTTTTTTATTTCAATTTTTTTCTTGGAATTATATGGGGCAAGTACTTAAAATAAAATTGGACTGCCCCTTGCTGGTGCAGTGGGTAGACCAGATAATTCTGACTATTCCCTCTGGTCTGATCATCCTCACTTGAGCAATTAATACCTTAAGGCATCTTTGCCATATTTTTATATTATTGGCTCCTTCGATAGCTTTCTTTCAAGGTGGGGCATGGTAGACAGGTACTACTATTAACTTCCCATACCTCCAACAGGAAAGCCAACACTATTTCCCAACTTGGAGGAAAGTATTTCATTCCCTCAAGCAGGATTGTTTACCTAGATCTTAGATAATCCTGAAGCTGAGCCTAGAGTTGAAACAGTATTTCTGAGCTTCTTTTAAATTCTATTATTAGAAAATAATTCCACTGAGTTCCCTTTTTTCCCATCACTTAAATTAGAGCAAATTGTATACTCATGAACACCATTTCCAGATGTCCCCCACTTTGGCGTACCATCCTGCCTGGGCTATTTGCCTCTGATTATTTATGGGCAGATGCAGGGACTTATATTTCTAATCATTCCTTGAAGCTTTTGCATATAAGGCTTGACATCTTAGTGTTGGAGTATTAGGTCTGGGGCTGTAAAGATAATCATTTTCAGCTTAGAAAACTGAAAGCCAGGGAGAAGACCTTCCAGTGACATTTTGGCCTAGAGACAATATAGGATAGAAAGTGAGTACAATCTCTGGAATCATAGAAATTAGAGTTGAGTTGTAGATCTGTAGCAAAGTAGCTGGGTGATCTTGGCCTAATACTTAAACTCTCTGTACTATCATATTGGAGTAAAAATATCCACCCCATGGACAATTATATGGTAGACTGGAATATCTAGCATATAGGAACTCAGAAAATATTAATTCTTCTACTTCATGGGCTACTGCTCTTATTTCACATCTTCACATAGACCTTAAAACTCTTATCTCTGTGCTCTTGACTTTCGTTTGGTTTTCCTTGTATTCTATGATTTCTGAGCCCACCTACCTTAATCTCCTCTGCTGAGATGTAAACTCCTTGAAAACAGGGACCACATCTGGCTTGGCATCTACAGACATCCCATCATACTTCTGCCCTAGCAGACTTGCCTTAAAGAAGGGGGCCTTGCTGGGTATGGTGATGCATACCTGTAATGTCAGTGAGTTGGGAAGCTGAGGCAGGAGGATCACAAGTTTGAAGACAGCCTCAGCAACTTAGTGTGACCCTCTCTCAAAATTAAAAAACAAAAGGATTAAAGGACTGGGAATATGGCTCGGTGATAAAGTGCTCCTGGGTTCAGTCCCCAGTCCAAAAAAGAAGGGGAGCCTTTGGAAACAATGTTGAATTTAATTAGGGAGGAGTCAAGTGTCTTAGTACTTTTTTTTTCAAATCTGATTCTATGTAGCAGAGGAGTTAAAGGTTCCCTGGATAATAAACCAAGGAAGAATGTGGTAGTGAAGTTTCTTTTTTTAATCAGTGAATTTTAATGAACTAAGAGGAGAAAGGAAAAAAAAAACAATTATAAGAGGGGGAGTGAATTATTCTCTTTTTCTGTTTATCATCTTTTTTCTTGCCCTTCCCTGTTCCCTTCTACTTGTCTGGGAAGCATAAAAAGTTCTACCACTTGCTCAATTTTAGAGACTGAGAGAATAGAGCAGGGATTGAGAAACTGGAGCATAAACGGATTCTTAGGGAAGAGAGATGGATAACAAAGAATGAGAGAACATGAGTAAGAGAGTACATAGAGAGGCTGTATCAATCCTGGGTAGTAAGGCCCGTAGCCTCAAAGTGAAAAAGAATATGGTTGTAAAGCTTTTCGAGGACTCCAAGAAGTCCCTTTCTCCCTCCTTCTCCACCAGGCCCTCTCTGGCTTCCTCTTATCCTAGCTTTGGGTGATTCCAGGTAAGAAATGGGACCATCCCTCCTACCTGGCTGCCTCTCACCATCACATGTCCTTCCTAGGGCGAGGATATCCTAGACAGGAGCTCGGAGCTGATCTACACTGGGGAGATGGCCTGGATCTACCAGCCCTATGGCCGCAACCAGCAGCGGGTCTTCTTCCTGTTTGACCACCAGATGGTTCTTTGCAAGAAGGTAACCCCACCTTTTCTTTCCTGAGGGAGATGGACACCTCACGAGGCACCATCCCCTTCCTTTTCCTCATACCCAGGCTGCCAGTGAAGTGGTCAACAACTGCTAGGAGAAAAACAGGCTGGAGATTGGCAGCAATTCCATATAAGGAGCACTGGTGTGGCATGAATATCATAGGCAATGAACAATTTTGTCTTGGTATCTATTTTTCACCTTTGCTCTCATGACTTGAATGGTGCTTCTTTCTCATTCCCTTATACCCAGATCTGATAGCCAGCAAGTTTAAATCAGTTGTGAAAAATATCATAATAGTTTCATCCCAATTGGTAAACAATAGCTTCTTCAGTACCTTCCCCCATTTACAATCTGATGTCTCTGGCCAACTGGCCCCCTCTCTTCTATAGAAACCAACAAGGGGCCTACTACTTTTAACCAGACAGGTAGGTACCTCTGTGATACAAGATTTCTCCCTGTTTCCTGCATTGGTGCATTGGTTCCTCACAACTCCCAACCATCTCTCCTGTACTACCCTTTCCCTGTAATACATTTGAGGAGAAATTTGTACTTCTCAGTTACCCCCTTGATAACTGAACGTTGGTTTCTTAGCCTTTTATTCTTGATGAAAAAGGACAGTATACATTCTTATCCTGAATCCTTCTGAGGGATCCTGATGGAATACTGTTCCCCCTACCTTCTTCCTCAGGATACAAAGTTCAGACCACTTTTCTCTCTAGTGACTGGCTAGGAAGAATTTGGGAGCAGGGAAAGTAAAAGATGAGGGAGAAACCTAAGAGTACTTAACGTGAATTTCCTAATTCACTGTCTTCATACCTAGTCCCTTTGTTCTCTTTCTCATCCATAGTGAATGCTTCTGAAGAGGGGTGCTGAGTCACAACATTACAAATTAAACACTGTTATTTTTCTGGCCTGGAACATAACCACAGATTTGGTTTAAGCCTCCTATACTCTGTGTGCATGTATATGTGTACCATATCTTGCATTAAATAGATTCAGACTGCCTTAATATTTGGCAATCAACTCTGAATGCTGGCTCTGGAACCAAAATAGCAAGTTAGTTCATAGGAATAATAATTGCCTCCATCTGGAGTTAACCCTGGAAGAGAAAACTTTTTTTGAATATGGATTTCAGCCCCAAACTAATATCTATCTTTAGACCCCTCAGTTCTCAGGTCTTCCATACAACTGGAAGGCAAATTTTTGAAGATTATTTTAGGCAACTAAGGGAATTCTCAACATATAAACCATGTCACCAACAGTCATGTGCCCGTTCACTACTAAATTATGTTCATGCTCAGAACAACTAGTCATTGAGAAAGACTTCAAACAGGAACTTGGTTTATTTTAGGGTCCCCTATCCCCAAGACCATGTTGATTTAGGCATCTTTCAGCAAACACTGCAGTTACTTTAAGTAAAATGTGAATCTAGGCTCTGGAAAGCAGTGCTTATAGGTGGTATGACCAGGACCTAAGATGCTAAACACTAAGGCAGAGGCTAGGAATAAAGGGAAAGAAACAAGATGAACAGTGGGCTAAGTTTAGGAATCAAGGGACAGAAGACCAGGGTGAAGTGATGAGTCAACTCGAAGCCAACTAGTAGGAGCCAATTGTAAGGAAGAAACTAGAAGTCAAAGGAGGAGTTGGGAATTCAGACCAGCCACACTGGCAGTATGGGAGAAGTAGGTAACAGGAGTGACAAAAATAAAAGATACCTTGTTGCAGGCATAGTTTCCCTCAGAAGGGAGATATCTTCTTCTATCTTGAAATCTTTCTCCCCAGAGTCTTTCTCCCCAGAGTAAAGCTAGTCTAGGGTCAGTGTATAAGGGTACCAATTCCATATACCCAGTTCTTAATGACACTGGCTTCCCAGAGCATAAGAAACTACAGGCTGTTGGTCATTAAAAATATCTGATGTTTATTGTTGAGGCTGTGGTTGAAGATTTCTATTTGATATCTACAATAGGACTTCCTATTCATCAAATAGGAGTTAAACTTGAAAAATGATCATGCAGTGCAAATAAGTTATATAAACAGACAAGATATTTTGTTTGCCAAATTGCTTAGGGACCACTTTCCATTACTATAAAAGATTTTCTTTTTGAGATAGAACTGAGAGAAATAGATAAGTCTCCCTGGAGATGAGGATTCCTTTGACAAAGGAAAGGAAGGGGAAGGACCAGGACTAGAAAGAGGTGAGGAAGGTTTCTCTTCACTCACCTTACTCACCTCAGGAATCCAATTTAAAAGAATACCTGAAAGCTCATCAGTAATTTTAAAAATGTATTTACAAGGAAAAAAATGGGGGGGAACGCAAACTAAGCCAGATGTGGCTACAGTAAGCTTTCTGATTAGATCATATTTAAAGAGGAATAAGTAAGTGCCCCTAGCAAGTGAATAGGTAATAAAACATTTTATATGTGATTTTTAACAGTAGTGGCAAAAATAGTTTCATGAGTCCTACAATGAATAAAGTTGGTATAAAAATGTTCAATTTAATATCAGTGATTTTAAAAGATCTATTCAAATAAAGAAAAAATTTTTTAAAAATGATAGTCTGATAACCCCTTGCCTTAGACAGATGGTTTAATGTTAGCAGAATAACATAAATTCCTTCAATGTCAAGGGAAGGAGAGCATAAAACTGACTACAAGTGGATTGAGACCCAAAGAATCTGAGGTTATAAGAAAACACTTTACTGCTCTGAAATATTTTTGAGTCCTATTCTGGGCCTGCAAACTCTGCCTTCATGGGGCTTATATATAGTCTAATAAAATTTAAGTAAGATTTAATTTAGAAATATGTATTTCTTTACACTGAAATAAATCTCAGATATTCACAGTGGAATTTCTCTAGAATTATGGGTCTTATGAAATCTGTGAGAACACTATAGATAGGAAAATGTACCAGTTTTAAAAACTGAAAATAATATGTTATGGACAATATAGATTGATAAAAAAATCATGAACTAGCATTTATTGAGTGCCTGTATGATTCTGTTCTAAGAACTTTACATTGAATAACCCAATTTAATCCACATAACAAATCTCTCAGGAAGTCACTGTCACTATTCCCATTTTAAAGATATGTAAATTGAAATATAGAGAAGTTATATAATTCCCCCAAGGTGATAATAGCTGACAAGTGATAGAATCAGGGATTGAATTCATTCAAGCTGGCTCTATTTTTTACATTGGCAACCTCAATGTCATTACTGCCATTGAGCTTGTCAGAATTCTGTAATTATAAAATATTCTATGAACATTTAGGAAAAGATGCAGCGACCATGAGGGCTCAGCATTTGGAGCAAGCCATGACTCATAAAGCTTCATTTCTATTTTGCCAGTAATTTGATTAGTGAATGGGAGGATTAAAACTGGCAGAGAGTATCTGGATTTTATTCTGGAATATCTGGATTTCATTCTGGCATATCAGATTCTCCCATAATTTCCTTGGAGAGAGAATAAATATGGAATAATAAGATATACAACTTATGGTCAGACAATTTGGGGTACAAATCTTGGTTCCAGAACTCACTGTATTATTTCAAGCAAGTGATCTATCATTTCCTATGCCTTCATTATATCATTTATAAAATGGGGAGAACAAATTCTGTACAGGATTTTTGTGAAGAATAAATGATATCAATGCAGGTAAAGTACCTGTTAGAGTACATGGAATCTAGTAGGAGCTTATTAATCTTAGAATTCCCTCATGTCCAAAAAGAAATAGGCAGATTTATAAGGTAACGTGGTCCCCATCTCTAGTTTCATCCAAATATGGGCTAGATGATTACCTGCCAGAGATTGCTTAGAAGACATTAAAATATTCCACCTGGTCTCTATCCAAAATCATGTGGCCCAGGCATTAAGTTCCTATTTAACTCTTTATTCTCATTTATGCAAAAATCTCGCCATTTTATACATTAGGAATTGGGAATGACTAAGCCACTTATAATCGTTTGTACAGCTTATAACTTAAGAGGACTAGAGGGAAAGAGAGAGAAGATATTTTTTTTAAGTTTATATTATAGTACATGAGAAAGACATCCATGGCTTCTAATTATGTGACCCCTTATTCAGCTTCCCTCACACCTTCTCTTTCCGTGTCATGTTTCTTTTGAGAAATCCAGGTAAGACTTGATTTCTTGTCTCTCAACTTCTCTGCTAACTGTCCTTGCTCTTCTATATCTCACTGCCTTGTCATGTTAGCTTTGTACGTGTTTTGCTGTTTAATTCCTGACATGATTATTTTGGATTATTGTGATGCTTTGGAAGGATTCCCCCTCCCCCTTTATTTTGTTTCCCTTTCACTACTTACTGTGAAAGATAGTACAGCTCCTTTCCCAAATCATCTACTAACATCTTATAGCCCTATAGTTGCCTTAAACAACCTCTTCTCTTAAACTTCATGCCAATCCGCCTGGGCATGCTCCCTTGTGCTATGTGTAATAATTGCTCTGTGTTTCTGTTGCCTTCACCATACGGTAAGGAATCATAATTAAACAGCATGTAATGGTAGTAGACAGAAGACTTTTGTTCAGGGAAGTTTCTGCATTGGGACCATTTCTTCTTGCACTGACTGAAAGGCCCAACTGGGAGGTTTGTGAGACAACTCACAAACCATAATAAAATAAAAAGAGGTAGGGATAGAGCAAAAAGAAGATGGGAATTTGAAAAAAAAAATGTACTTGGATACTTGACTTTATTCTTTTGTCTAGACTTTGGTCAGTTTTTAAACTTCATCTTTTTGTTCCTCAGTGTCAAATTAAGTGAATGATAGAAGTCATCCCCAAAGTCTCAAGGAGAACAACCTGAGGTAGTGGGGAGTAGTAGAGTATTAAGATCATGGATACTAGGGAAAGGCTAGAGGATGCTATTCCCATTTCTCCCATGAGCTTTCTGACCTTGAGCAAGCTCTCAGTGCTTATAAGTATCCCTTCATTTGTAAAATAGGAATCATATTTTTATCTACAACAAAGGTAGATTATGAGAGTTAAATGAGACAAGGCTGGTGTCATGTAAATACTTAGTAAATGTTAGCTATTGATACTATTATAGTGTATGTAGAGTTAACAATCATTCAGCATTTTTATTGGGAAGCATTATAACACTGTAGTACCAAAAGCACAAATCTTAGAGCCAAACACCCTGGAATAAAATCTCAGCTCTGCCATTTAATAGCTTTTATCTCTGGTTAAGTTCCTTAACTCCTGTGTCTATAGTTTCTCATTAAATGGGATTATGATAGCCCCTGCCTTGTAGGATTGTTGTGAGGTTTATTTAAGTTCATAAAACAAAGCACTTAAGATAGTATCTGCCATTTAAGTGTTTTCTGTTGCTTTTATTGTTAAAATTTTGTTTTGAGAGTAAAACATGCACTCTAGATGCTGGAATATGGTAGTGACCAATATAAACCCAGTTCCAGCTTCATGTTCCTCAGAATCTGAAGGGAAAATTGGCATTGTCCAGACTGTGTGATAGTAACCAGGCCCCCCTCTAAAGTGGCAGGGAGGATCTACTGACAAACAAACGAAGCAGGCTACAGTCCTGAACACTTGCATTCTCCTGATTGCAGCATCTGTTATTTGTACAAAATGTCTTGCTTTGTCTTACAAAACCCCGGGAATACCTACAGAGGCCAAACTAAAATAGCTGGAAGCTATTTCAATTATGCAGTATCAGCGATGAGCAGAGGTTCTTTGCAGGAGCCACAGGCTATGACCAGGGCCTAGGCATTTATAGACTTGACAAAAACCTCCGGGAAAAGCATTAGCTGCCCAAGTAGATCTGTGATGTTGGTGAGTAGGTGGCAAATACCATTTAGCAAATACCTCCCCCATCCTGAAAGAATATGTAGAATTTCTAGAGACAGTATTTTTACTCATAATATTTAACTTATTTGGAAAGTTTAAATGAGCTGAAAGAGGCAGCATGTTTTTTAAGTTTATCAAAAGGGAATTCAAACGGCTATGAAGCACTGGCACAGGAGCAAGAAAGCTTAAGGCTGTTTTTAGTGAATAAGGCTTGCCTCATAACCAGGAAGCTGCATGTTTAGATTAGAATTTTTCTGCCATTTTTACAGTGTAAATAAAACTCTCATTTTATGATTGAGGCTGAAAGTGGCTTACCCAAGACCATACAGCTAGTAGGTTAAGCAGTTAGTATTCAAACTCAGGTCTTTGGATTCTATGTCATGCTCTTTCTACTGCCCCATGTTGTTTCATGGCCTTAGCTACCCTTTCTGATTGAACTTCCTAAGCCAGTAGATCATTTTTAGCCATTCTTATTATATCCTTGCATTTGGCTTATGACTAATCTGATGCCTGAACACTCACATTCAACTGACTGTGGAGCTGCAAAGAAAGAATTTTAATAACATGTCACTCTACCCCTGTTACCCTGCAACAGAAGCTAAAATTCTCTTTAGTTCCTTGTCATCCTTAAATATCTAAAGAAACAACAAGAAGCTTCAATTAATGTAGTTCTAAGATCTTGCACATACTTTCCATTTTTGGAAACTAGAAAAGGTATTGAAGGCTGACAATGATAATGTGACATTAGTTTAGTAGGCGGGGGAAGGAAGTTGTGGACTGAAGTTCAGAATAGGGTAGTTGAGGTTGCCAGTGTTTTAGTACTATAGGTGCCCACTTTTTAGCTGCATGATCCAGATCTGCCTTTCTAGGTCTTTATTTATTATGTTATGAATAGTAAAGTTAAACTCAAACCTTTCTGAGATCAGGATAGATTCCATCCATTATCCATAGATTTTCTTCCCTTTTATCCAGTTAGATTAGCCTAATAGGGCCCACTTTTTGAGCATGTATCTCACAGATAATCTCAGAATTTGGAATACAGTTCATAGGAACCACTACAATGAATATCTCTTCTCTGAGGAGGATGAGGGAAGTGTTGATAGGAGGAGAGGCTAGGCTAAAAGGCCACTCCGAGAGACTTATCAGATCTAATATAGACCCATATGTGATTTCTTCCATTCCTTTGCATTTTTTACTTATTATTTATTTGATGTCCATAAATATTTAAAATAATATAATGTACACTCATGTACTTACTGTTTAACTTAAATGATTATTTAAAAATGTAAACTTCCTTCCCTTATACACTTCCATTTCCTTCTTCCTTCATCTCTTCCCATTTTCTGATTTATACTTTTGATTTTGGCATATATCATTGTCAAATATWCCTTTATAACTTATATATATATATATATATCTTAATATTATATGGTCATGCTTTGTGTGTTTTCAAGTGGAATAGATATAAATGAGATAGAACTATACAGAAAGGAGCTGGACACAGTGGCGCATGCCTGTAATCCCAGCAACTTGGGAGGCTGAGGCAGGAGGATCACAAGTTTGAGGCCAGCCTCTTCAGTAATTTAATGGGGCCCTAAGCAACTTAGTGAGACCCTGTCTCAAAATAAAAAGGGCTGAGAATGTGGCTCACAGATAAGGTCTCTGGATTCCACCCCAGTGTACACATACACACACACACACACACACACACACACACACACACACAAAGGAAACCAGGGGAATGATGAACATGAGATTTAGGGTAGAGTATGCCTTGGGTCATTGCATTTGGATTGGGGGCAGGTTCACTAATACTGATTACATTATTAAAAATGTAAGTAAATAAGTAGAGAAATAAGAACACCACTCACAAACTAATTTTGAATGTCTCATTGAAGAAAATTAGGATTAATCTAGTACTTGAGAACAAAATATCAGATAGGCAACATAGTCTTTATATGCATCTGCAAGTTTGTTTTCTGATACCTTAGTTTCATTGGCCTTCTTGGATTTCTCAGCACATTCCAGACAACCAGCCAGTGCATTTCATATTTCTGGTAGAGTGGCCAATGTTTTCAAAGAGGAAAAGCCCCTGTTAGCAGTGTTTTTGTGGTATGCTGCTTCATATTTCCCAGCAACAGGCTTGCAAACACATTCAAGGATTTATATTGGGGCCTGAGACATTGTTTGGATATGGGGCAACTCTTAGGACACCTAGTTAATCATCTTGTCAATGTCAGACTGGTAATCTAACATGCCCAAATTTAGACCTTAACAACCCCTATTGGTATTCCAAAACAGTGACAGCGTTAGTATTCTGTTGTGCCCATATGCCAACTCTCCTGTTACCACTCTGCATGTACCTACACAAAAATACCTTTCCATTCTTCCTACCTAGGATCTAATCCGTAGAGACATCCTGTACTACAAAGGCCGCATTGACATGGATAAATATGAGGTGGTTGACATCGAAGATGGCAGAGATGATGACTTTAATGTCAGCATGAAGAATGCTTTCAAGCTTCAAAACAAGGAGAAAAATGAGGTACATCTGTTCTTTGCCAAGAAGCTGGAGGAGAAAATTCGTTGGCTCAGGGCTTTCAGAGAAGAGAGGAAAATGGTACAGGAGGATGAAAAAATTGGTAAGTGACCTGAGGGAAGATAGAAGAATCTGTGATCAACATAGAGTTTGAATTGGTTTACATTTTTCTAGAGTCAGAGGAAAGATTTCTGTTACAAACTCATGTAAGCCACTTTGGCCTTTCCTTATTATTAGGTTCTTCTTCATAAATACCAAAAGCTTTCATTAGTCAGAGGTAGGTATGAGTTACCTATTAGATTCCAATAAAATTGCATCAGCAGACAAGCATATTGCACTGAAAGCCAATCTTAGCCTTTATTCTCCCTAGCATATAAACATTTATGAACAAACACACACAAAATCATTCATATATCCTATTCTGTAATCTCAATGAGGTCTCAGCTTTCAGTTTTTATGTACATAATAGGACCTTCTGTAAAAGGGTCAAGGCAGATTTGGTAGAATTATGCTGATGGGATTCAGACAACTTTCCTTTTTGTGTTTGTATGTAGTGCTAGAAATGGAACCTACTGCCTCACACATGCTAGGCAAGCACTCTGCCATTGAGCTATATCACCAGCTGTCAACCAACTTTCTGGTCAGAGTTTGGCAATACAATCCTGATAGGGACCAGGACAAAGAACCCTTTTTGATTGTAAGCTTTAAGACCCCTTTTGAATGGAATATGTTATGGGATCAAAGAGATTCTTATATCAATTTTTTATAAAAGCTAAAATATCCTTAAGACATTTCTGGTTGGTGCACCTCTTTAATAACATTCATTTTACTAAGAAAAATTAATTATTTTATAAATGTTAGGCTAATTAGTTCTCCTCCATTGAAGTGACTGAACTACTGATAGAAGCAAAGGCTTCTAAGTATTTAATGTTTACAAATCACCTCTGGAGTAAGTATTAATGATTAAGGTATTTTAAATATTAAGTAAATACCCCTAAACTGTAGATTAAAAGGATATGCATGTATACATTATACTCTGTGGATCTATTTTGAAGTAAATTGTAGAAAATATAACAAGGTATAAAACCATCATCATTTGCAAGATTTAGATTTACAATTAAACATACTTTTTGGCTTGAAACAGATTGTTCCTCTTTTACACAGTGATATAATTTCTCATGCTGTTTCCAAACTCTGGAATTCAGGTGCCTCAGTTATTGGTTTGTGCATTATAAAGTATTACCACATATTTTGTTTATGGTACTGTTTCTGTCATAGAAGTAACAAACAAGCAGCCTTTGTAATTATCTGAGAAGACACACAGTTTTTGTCTTTGCCCCACTCCTTATGAAAATGGAGTTGTTAAAATGCTTATATGCTCAAGTTGCTTAAAAAAAAAATCTGCCTCTAGAAAAATGGGCCTACCCATTGAGTACAGAAGTGTTCTCCTACCCTTCCATATTGGGGAACAAAATGGTCAGAGGACAGGAGGGATGTTCAGAAAGACCCGTTGATCTCAGTCTTTTCAGGTATTGGGTAGAATGCACATTGATAACTCACTTTGAATCTCATTAAAGTAAAAAAATGCTTTTAGCATAGGGGTACTGCATTAAGACATGCTTTGTAGTAATATAGAAATATTGTTGCTATTTTCCCATTTGCAGACATCAGCAACCACTGATCCTGTTCAGGCTGTAGAGACATTAAAGATTGGGCTGGGGATGTGGCTCAAGCGGTAGCGTGCTTGCATGGCATGCGTGGGGCACTGGGTTCGATCCTCAGCACCACATAAAAATAAAATAAAGATGTTGTGTCCACTGAAAACTAAAAAAATATATATATTAAAAAATTTTTCTCTCTCTCTTTCTCTCTCTCTCAAAAAAAAAAAAAGATTGATCTTAATGTGCAGACTCTAAATCAGTTAGGAGATCCTTCCCATTCCCTCTGGCTCAAATACCGTGTCTCCCACATAATCTCTGACTAATAATCTGTGACTTTTTAAAAAATATTTTTAGTTGTAGTTGAACACAATATCTGTACTTATTTTTATGTGGTGCTGAGGATCGAACCCAGTACCTCACATGTTCGAGGCAGATACTCTACCAATGAGCTACAGCCCCAGCCCAATCTGTGACTTTTAAAAGTCTATTTCTAATTTAGAAAAGCTTCCAGAAATTGTTTCCTGATAGACCTATGCTCATCTTTTTAATGAGAGTTTTGCAGATTTTTGTTTTTAGTCTCATTTAAATCACTTTCATTGTAGGAAATTGTAAGGAAACAAAAAACCTAGAAAAATATGAGAAAAAAATAATAATCACAGAGTACATACAACACAGCAAGAAATTTGTAAACATTTTGTTTTGATGTATCTCCATCTATTCTGTTTTTCCTGTATGTTAAAAAAATGAGTGACTAAATCTTTTTATCCCCATACCTGCCTCTTCATGGTACACAGTTATAATTTTGTAACATTTTTCACTCCACATTGTATCATTAGAATTGTCAAATCATTTATTTTTTTTTTAATTTTTGGTGTTGGAGATTGAATTCATGAGCACTTTACCCCTGAACTACATCCCTAGTCCTTTTTAATTTATTTTATTGTTTGGAACTGGGGAATAAACTCAGGGGGTGCATAACAACTGAGCCACATCTTCAGCCCTTTTTATATTTTATTTACAGAAGGATCTCACTTAGCGCCTCACTTAGTTGCTGAGGCTGGCCTTGAATTTGCAATACTCTTGTCTCAGCCTCCCAAGTTGCTGGCATTATAGGCATGAGCCACCACACCTGGCTTTTTAATATTTTTAGTGATTATTTTTATGACTTCCATGTTGATTTACCCTAATTATTATTGTTTTTATTTTTAGTTATAAAATTTACATAGGGCCATCATAACCATTTAAACTCATGTAGAAACGTATAAAAATATTTAAAATTCTTTTATTTTCTTGCTCAGTCTTTGTGAAATAATAAGTATTTGCAATTTGGTGTGCCTATTTACATACCTATGCTATGTTCTTTAAATATTTATAAATATTTATTTATAAAATTATATATATATGTATATTTCAGATTAATTTGTATACACACATTGCAACTCACTTTTTTAAACTTAATTTATCATAAATAACTCTATAGGTAAGAGTATATTATCTGTAACTTCTTATGTCAATCGGAGTTCAAGCAGAGAAGCATAAACAGTAAGAGATATATTACTAGAAATAAAGGCTTCCTAGGTGACTCTGAAATCTGTAGTGCAGTCAGTCAGAAACAGAATTTCATGGGTAGGCTCAAACACATGGGCATAGTACAAAGCTGCCATAGGCAGCCAGGAAGGCAAGGTCGTGAGAAGAATGGAATTCTGTGGACATGGGCTGAAGCTGTGTTCCACAGGTGGAATTTCTGTTCTCTTTGGGAAAGACCTCAGCCCTGTTTTTGAAACCTTTCATCATATTCAATCAGATCCACTCAAATTATCCAGGATATTCTCCCTTATATCTCCTTGTTTAGGGGCTTTGATTACATCTGTAAAATACCTTCATGGAAACACCTATGTCAGTTAAGGTCATACTCCAGTCAAATACATCAATAAAGCCTTCAAACTTCTTTATTAATTACTGTAAAATATTCCATAGTATTTTGTAGCAACTTATCCCCTCTTGCTAAACATTATGTTTACTTCCAGATTTTTTCCACTATAGATATTTCTGAAAACATATCCATGAATGAATCTCATTATATATTGGTGCTTTTCTTCCTGTAGGATAGATACCCAAAAGTAGAATAACTGAGTGTGGGAATATGAGCAGTTTGAATTTTACTATAATATAGTCTTTCATATTGAATTTTTATAAAGTTACAAAAACTACACTCCCAATATCATTTTGTAGATATTCGTTTCTTTACACCCACACCAGCACTAAATAGCACCTATTTGTTTTCAGTATGTTGTTTGTCAACGATTAACATTTTTTGTATGCTTGCTAGGTATCTGCAATTCTTTTGTGAATTGTTTGTTCATACACTTTATGTTTACTTTGTGTGTGTGTGTGAGTATAAATTTGTGGGCTGGGGTTATAACTCAGTGGTAGAGCACCTACCTAGCATGCATGATGCCTTTGGTTCTATCCCAGCACTACAAAAGAAAGATGGTATTTATAAATTTATAATTTTATAATGAATCTATATTATGGAGGGTAGCACATTATTAGTTTTGAATTTTTTTCACATATTTTCCTGAGTCTGTTACATGTCTTTTGAGTTTATGATACTTAAATTTATAAAAATTTAATTTGTTTCACAAAAATGTTTTCCAGGTCCATTGATGTTGCGGCAAATGATAGGATCTCCTTCTTTTTAAGCTTTCTGGTTTGGGTTTTTTTGCATACCTTAAATGTATACTATAACATTTAAATAAATAGAAACCTTAAAAATTTTAATTTGATTACTTTGATAAATGTCTATTTGGCTTCTAAGTTCAACTTGAATAAGTTGTTCTCTCCATGAACACTTTGCATATTTCTAAATTTCCTTTTGATATCTTTGTTTATTTTTTAGAGCTGTATTCCATCTGAAATTTACACTTTGAATATGATGTGCAGGAAGGGGTTACATTTTGTTTCTTTAAGGTGAATAACCAGTTGCACAGAATCATTTATTAAATCAATCATTTCTTTCTCACATAATTAAAATGCTAGTTTGCTTAGTAGCTCTATGTACATACTTGGACTTAGACTTTCTACTCTGTTCTATTATTATATTTGTCAATTCTTGTGTCAAGACAATACTTTCAAAATCATAGTAGATTTCTGTAAATTTCAATGCCTGGTAATATGAATTCTTAATCACTCTTCTTTCATATTGTTTCTTATCAGTTGTTAAATGTTTATTCTTTGATATAAATATCAAATTTAATTTTTTCTAGGCCAAAACAGCTTGGATTCTGATTGGCACTGTTTTAAAAATGTTAATACTTGAAGATTTGGAATTTTTATTAGGTTTTCTCATTCAGAAATATGGCGCTTTTCATCCACATCTTGTTCTTATCTACTTCAGGAAAATGATGATATTTTTAAAAATATTTTTTTAGTTGTAGTTGGA